AACATGAAGGGTTGGGGGCTTCATCAACATCAAGGGTTGGGGACTTAGCATCTGCTGAGCTGCAGACATGCTGCATCCTAAACTGTCCATCCCTGCACCTGTTGTCATAAGATTCCCCCCCCCCGCCTAGAAGCAAAAGCCATCTCCTGTGCTTCGTCATGAAGCAAGTCATATTCATGGGGAGGGCTAGATTTAGGTTTGATGAGGCCCTAAGCTACTGAAGGTAATGGGGCCCTTTATATGTCCAGCGGTCCTTTGTCAACAAGTTTTGCTCTAGTTATCTCCCGCATGGACTACTGCAATGCACTCTACGTGGGGCTACCTTTGAAGGTGACTCGGAAACTGCAATTAATCCAGAATGCGGAAGCTAGACTGGTGACTGGGAGCGGTCGTCGAAACCATACAACACCAGTCCTGAAAGATCTTCATTGGCTCCCAGTACGTTTCCGAGCACAATTTAAAGTGTTGGTGCTGACCTTTAAAGCCCCAAACGGTCTTGGCCCAGTATATCTGAAGGAGCATCTCCACCCCCATCGTTCTGCCCAGACACTGAGGTCCAGGGCCGAGGGCCTTCTGCCGGTTCCCTCCCTGCGAGAAGTGAGGTTACAGAGAACCATACAGAGGGCCTTCTCGGTAGTGGCGCCTGCCCTGTGGAACACCCTCCCAGCAGATGTCAGGGCAATAAACAACTATTTTACTTTTAAAAGACAACTGAAGGCAGCCCTGTTTAGGGAAGTTTTTAATGTCTGACGCTGTATGGTTTTTAATACAGTGGTACCTCGGGTTAAGTACTTAATTCGTTCCAGAGGTCCATTCTTAATCTGAAACTGTTCTTAACCTGAAGTACCACTTTAGCTAATGGGGCCTCCTGCTGCTGCCGCGCTGCCAGAGCACGATTTCTGTTCTCATCCTGAAGCAAAGTTCTTAACCCGAGGTAATATTTCTGGGTTAGCAGAGTCCTGTAACCCAAGGTACCACTGTATTCGGTTGGAAGCCGCCCAGAATGGCTGGGGAAACCCAGCCAGATGGGAAGGGTATAAATAATAAATTTTTATTATTTATTATTATATTATTATTATAACAAATTGTCACTGTTTTTGTGTTGAATATATGCCATATGGTAATTTATGGACCTAACAGGTATCTAAAGCCATTTGCATATGCAGAATGTAGGCACCCTATATATAGAAATGAGCAAACCAGTGATATTCTAGGGAGCAGGATAGCAGGTGGGGCCCATTGCTTACATCATAGGAGCCTCCACAACACAAAACACTGTTGCCTGTACGTAGGTTTTATTTTATTTGCTTTTCATCTTATATTTTGGAAATGTACATCCAGGTTTTTTTTCTTTAATTTTTTTGCCCCCCCCCCCAAGAGAGTGGGGCCCGAAGTTATAGCTTGTTTAGCTTATACATAAATCTGGCACCGTTCAGAGGTACAGTGGTACTTCGGGTTAAGAACTTAATTCGTTCTGGAGGTCTGTTCTTAACCTGAAGCACCACTTTAGCTAATGGGGCCTCCCGCTGCAGCCGCTGCACGGTTTCTGTTCTCATCCTGAAGCAAAGTTCTTAACCCGAGGTAATATTTCTGGGTTAACGGAGTCTGTAACCTGAAGCGTATGTAACCTGAGGTACCACTGTATACTGCTTTGGAACATGTGGGGTCCATTGAAACGCACATTTCTCTGTACCAATTCCTGCCTTAATTCTGCCTAATCCCTGAAAAAGACACATAATTTTGTGCTAGTGAAATTAAGGGCAGGAAGCAGTGCGCACACACGAAAGTAGCGCAATAAACCTACTTTTTGCACATCAAGTTGTAGTTAGCGGCGCAGGAGCAAAAGCACTAAGAAAAAATTGTTTGGAGCAGCCCCTGTGGCTTTAACAGAAAGGCTGATCACCTGTGAGAAATGTCCCTAGTCATCTGCTGGAAAATGATTGTCAGCTGTTGATCCCTCAAGATCGACAGCTGCTGTTAAGGCACAAGAGCAAGACAGCCCTCTTTTATACGTGGTCAGTTGGCAAGTCTCTTCAGGGACAGCGACGCAGGCAAAAGAAACTCAAAAATGCAGGGAAACTCTTTTAAAGCGACTTTAAACCTTTATTCTGGGGGCAGCAGCTCCTGTGCGGTTGCAAACAGTAAAAGAGAGGGTGAGAGCAGTCATAAGGAACCTGCTATTTATTACTTAAATAATATTAATAACAGTAATCTGAGTCACGAACTTCCCCAGGAGCCCCGCCCCTCCCTTCAGCCTTTGACTTCTTCGCCACTAGAGGGCGGGATTACTTTACTTTAGCCGGCGGGCTGGCACGGTTTCTAGCCGGCTGTGCAGAGAGAGCCAAGTTTGACAATACTTGTGCAAACACGTTTGAGCGTGCAATGTAACAAGTGCTCCTTCCTGCCTCCTTTTAAGGATGTGCATTTCTTCCCAGCCAGCCAGCCTGCAAAGCCTCTGGGCTGAAAGTCCTATGCTTTGCAAAGGAATGGAGGATGCAAATCATTTATTAGGGCTGGATCTTTTCTGAAATTTTCTTGCAAGATTCTGGAACAGGGCGGGCCTTTAGATCTGCATTATCGCTGCCTCTGCAGCCCCGCTTGCCCTATGCCCGTTTACTCGGAAGGAAGCCGCGCCAGTTTCAACGGGGCTTGTTTCCAGTTAAACACCGCATGCTTAAACCCTGCTGTCAACTTCTCAAAAACTCTCCCTTTTGCTAATCTGAATTTTCTCCAGCAGAAAGGGCTTGGCCAGGGGTTGTGGTCCGGCTTCCTTTAACAGCCCTATTCAGCTGAAAGGGTTGAGGAGATAACAGAATTAGAATTGCAAGTCTTTTTTAAGGGAGCATTTGATGCAGTCAGAGTCATTTAACAATGGCGTGTTTACACTTGAAACCCGATTTAATCTAACCCGAGTCGTCGCTTGGGGGCTCTCTCCGGAAAACTAATCTGATCAGGGCCTCGCCTTCATTAGCATGAGACACATCTTCCAAACCGGATTATTTGCACTTAAATCGGTTACTGGGCCTCAAGCAAATTTAATCATGCCAATGAAGGGACTCGATTGAGTTTAATACACAGTCCTCCACTAAAATGACACTGGACTCTTGCGTATGTTTACTCGGAAGTAAACCCCACAATGCCCAGTTTTTGGAGGGGAGGTGTTGCTGATAGGTTAGTGCGCTGTTTAAACCGATTTAAAATGTCTGTTTAACAAAAGAATAGTTGCAGCCTGGGCTGTTGGGTTAGTTGAAAGCGTTCCTGAGTGAACAGTAAACGGAGATTTAAAAGAATGTTGTGAACCTGCAACCTGCGCCCCCATCCGCCAAAACGCATGTGGATCTTTCTTTGTAGCGAGCTGCGAGGTGTGCTTGCTATTTCCCCTGATGAAATAGTGGAGCAATAATCCCCCGAGCTAATTTTTAATCCGAATTCTTTGGGCATCCGAACAACTTTTGAGAGTCTAGATACAAACGGGCCGTGCTCCCCTCCTTCTTCTACCAACTCTTACATACACAGGTAAGCGTTGCTGAACTCAGTAACCTTCACCTCCCTCTCCTCGCATCGCCCCAAGTCAGCGCCCGGGAGCGACGCCAGATTCCCGAGTCTCGTGACATCTTCTGTCTTCACTGCCTCCCGGCCCTGCAAACTCTCGTGCTTTTTAAATACACGCTGAGATCCGCAGTCCTCCTTAAACTAGCGGGCTGCGGTTGTGCGCTGCAAATCCGGCGTTTTTACTCGGGAGTAAAAAAACCCCACCGCACTTGCTTCGCAAACATGCAAAGGAGGTTTAGGATCCTTTCCAAATCTCTCCAGGGAACCCAACCGATTTAAGTGCAAAACGGCTTGCAGGAAAGCGTTCTTCCAAGCACACGCCCCGCCAGAATTTGCAGCAAATTGGGGCGAGGGGCGGCGTTTGCACTGCGAAGGCGTCGCTTCCGAAACGGATCTGCGAAGTCTTTTGGCTTGCACTCCCTAGTCGGAAGTGAGCCCCATTAAAACTCGACGGGGCTTTACTCCCAGGTAAAGAAGTGTGCAATGGAAAGCATTGTATGTTCGTCAAATTAGCCACACAAGTGGCAAACCGCCAGCAGTGAGCTCTCTAGACGGATTATATCCCCCAAATAGGTTTTTTTTTTTTTTTTTTTGCAGTGCGGAAGAAACCGGGGCGGATCCTGAACAAAACGCTCCCACACCCCCCAAGAAGACAGAGTTTGTGTGCAGGGGTGTGTGTGTGTGTGTGTGTAAACATCAGCCAACGGCCGCCGACTAGACGGCACCGCGAGGCCCCGATCCCTTGCACGCCTTACTCGCAAGTAAGCCCCACTGATTCCAAAAGGGCAGCAAGCTTGCGCACCGGCCTTGCAGACGCCGGCTAAGGCGCACGGAAAAGCAAGCCAGCGCTTCTTCTCCGGGGAAGTGCAGGGGTGCGCGCGCAATATACACATATACACAACCCAGCAGCTCTGCAGGGCGCGCAGCTCGCTCGCCACTACACCTCCCGACTTTTACTATGTTTACTTCCGCCGGCCCCGTGCAGCGGGCGCGCGTAACGTAAAGAAAGAGGCGGCCGGGCTGAATTAAACCGGCCCAGCGTCAGCTGCTGCCGTTACCGCCCCTCCTCCCCGAGCCTTTAACGCAGTGCAGAACGCGAGCGAGCTCTCCAAGCGCTGGCTGCGGGCGCGCCTCTTGCAAAAGAAAACCCCCTTCCTTCTCTCCCCATTGCTTTTTGCCAGCCCGAGACCCCTTCCCCAATCGACCCCCCACTTCTGGCCGCCGGCTTCCGAGCCTTTCCCCGCCGCCACCCCCGGGTGGAGGGAGGGAGCGAGCGGGGAAGGCGGTACCCCCCCTCCCCTCTCCAAGACGCGCGTTTCCTCCTCCTCCTCGTTTCCTCCCAGCTCCTTGTTGCAGCCCGTATGCAAAGCTCGGCTCCACAGTTGGCGGGAAAAAGGAGGCGGAGCGCTTAGCCCTGCAAACCTATAAAAGGCCTGGCGCGCCGGAGTCATCACTACTTTGCTTTCGCAGAGCCGAGGGGAGGGTCCGGCTCGGCTTGGGAAAGGCTCCGCCGCCGCCGCTGCTGCCGCTACTACTACAATCTTACTACTGTTGCTGCCGCCGCCGCCTTTGCGGGGAAGAAATAAATAAATAAATACCCCACCGAGGGCGCGCGCCTGTCCGCCGTCACCCCGCTGCGCGCGCCTCGGCGCACCCCCCTTACCTATTCCTTCTCTTACATCCCAAGGCGCTGCTGCTTTTTTTTATAATTAAAGGCTTATTTTTTTTTTGGACTCTTGAAATCCGACGCGCACTACCAAGAACTCTTCGAACCCGGCTTGCTGCATCGCTCCCTGGGATTTACAACCGAGATCTTTGGACGGACTGCTTTTGCTTTTTTTTTTTTGCTTTTTGAGGGATTTACAAGGAAAGGGGGGCCGAGCAGATTGTCGTCCCCCACTTGGCTTTTTTTCTTTTTAAACCTGCGTTCGTTGGCTCCCCTTTTCTCATAGATATATCCGCAACGTCCCAAATAATCGACCCGCTGTCTTTTTTAGCCGGGACCTGGGAGGAACCGGTAAGTCCGGCCTTTTTAATTTTTATTATTATTATTCTGCCGGGATCTCTCTGGCTTGCTCTTTCTTGGTGCGTGTGTGGATTTTTTTTTTATTTTTTTTTTTTGAGAGGCGGGATATCTGAATTTCGCTTAGGCGAAAGTGATCGGTTGTCTCCAGCGTGTCCGAGTGAAGCAGCCCGGCACGCATTTTATTTATTCCTCTTTCAAAGGAGGCGGGCTCCCAGCGAGCTTTGAGAAGGGGGATTTTGATGAGGAGCTAATTTTGCATTGTTAGGACTGTAGTGGACCTAGATTTCTTGGGGGAAGCGCCTAGATATACCGCTTCCTCTCCTGTTGAAGCTTTGCATTGAAATTGCATTTGCAAGCGGCTGGTAATTTGCTCTTGCGCTTCGCGCGTGGAGAGGTTGGGGTGGGGACCCAGTTTCAGGAAAATTGGGGGGGTCTCTCTTAATCCCCCGCCCGCCTGCCCCGGGGTGGAGAGGAGGGTAGGTCCATGTGTTGCGTGGTCCTAAGAGGACTCTTGCAGAAAGCTTGCTTCGAACCCGTTTTGGGAGGAAGGAAAAGGGAGACCTTAAGAGGAAACATTCCTCTTGGCGGACGCAGGATCCTTCGCCAGGGCGCCGCCTGGGTTAATACCCCCGGATATACTCCAGTGGGGCAGGCGGGGGGGAGGTACGACGGTACCTCGGGGCGCTTGTACTCCGAAGGGGCGGGGAGCCGGAGCGCCGCAGGCTCGTGGGGGCGGCAGGAGATGGGAGTGAATCCCAAGTGGATTTTTTTTTTTTTAAGGTGGCGCCGGTTCGAATCCCGGGGACTCTCGGGTTGAGCCGGAGATACTCATTCACAGAACAAATTTATGCGTGTCTCGTCGGGGGTGAGGGGTGCCTGACGGGGCCTCGCTTGGCGTGGGTGACACTAGATACCGGATCCCCCCCCCTGTGTCCGAGGTATAGGCTCGCAATGCATTGTGCGTTCCGGACGGCTCTCCCCGCGCATTGCGATTTTCGGTGCGCGCCGACGGTGGGGGCCGCGGGTGGGCGTTTTGCTTCGGAAAGGAGGCGGGAGCCCGGGCTCTAGCGAGCCCGTTCCTCCCCCTCACGTCGAAGGCGGTTTAGCCGACTGGTAGCAGGGAACTCAGTGAAGCCGTCTTATCAGCGTCGGAAGCGGAGGGCGCGTTGCATGGAACCGAGCGGGGAAACCGGGCGAGGGTGTCGCCGTGCGCCACGGCTCTCCCAGCCGGGATGACCCTCGTTAACTTTGGGGGGCGCTGCCTTCCTGACTTGTCTCTTAGGTAACTCGTACTCCCCGCCCCCCATTTCCAGGCGTTCTCATGCGCCTCGACGGTTCTGCATGCAGACGCGGGGTAGTTAGTCCGGGTTACTTTACCCCGCTATTTTGTGTGCGTGTGTAGTAGGGTTTTGCGGAGTCCTTCGGAGACGGGCATGCATGGGATCGGGGCCCCCGCAGCAGCCCGCAGCTAACCGGTTCCCCATCTTCTCCCCGCCCCTTTTAGGCACTGTCCCCAGCCACCATGCCTCTGACGGTGCCCAGCTTCAGCCGGGCATACGATTACGACTATGACTCGGTGCAGCCGTACTTCTACTTCGAAGACGAGGAGGAGAACTTCTACCTGACGGGGCACCACCGCGGCTGCGAGCTGCAGCCGCCCGCGCCGTCGGAGGACATCTGGAAGAAGTTCGAGCTGCTTCCCACGCCGCCTCTGTCGCCCAGCCGCCGCTCGAGCTGCTTCCCGTCCAGCGCCGACCAGCTGGAGATGGTGACGGAGCTGCTGGGCAGCGACGTGGTCAACCAGAGCTTCATCTGCGACCCGGGCGACGACGCCTTCGTCAAGTCCATCATCATCCAGGACTGCATGTGGAGCGGAGGCTCCACCGCCGCCAAGCTCCAGCAGGTCGTCTCCGAGAAGCTCGCCTCCTACCAGGCCGCCCGGAGGGACGGCGCGGCCGCGGCGCGCAGCGGCAGCCTCCCGCAGCCTTCCCCGACGGCGCCCGTCGCCGCCGCCTCCTCCTCGGCTTCCTCGTCCGCTGCCTCTTCCGCCGCCGCGTCTCCCAGCAGCGCCTACCTGCAAGACCTGGGCGCCACGGCTGCCGAGTGCATCGACCCGTCCGTCGTCTTTCCGTACCCGCTGAGCGAGAAGCCCCCCAAAGTCGAGGCCGCCTCCCCGGAGCCTAGCCCGGCTCCCTTGCTGGTTCAGGACACGCCGCCCACCACAAGCAGCAGCAGCGACTCTGGTGAGTAGCAGCGATACTGCCCCCTCTGGACATCCTTTCTTTTTTTCGGGGGGGGGGAGGTTAGTGCATTGACTGCAGTGACCCTAAATACGCAGGTGGGGGGGGTCCAGAGTTGGAGAGGAGGGCTAAGCAATTTGGGGGTGGGGGAGAGCATGGCTAGACACTTGGTTAGGATTAGGAAGGCATGAAATATTGGGTGTTTGCCAGTTTCCAAGCGGTTAGGGGAATTGGAAAGGGGGGTGAAGCCACTTTCCTTTCATGCAGACTGAAGGTTGCAGCCAGTGCTGGCCCTACTCAGAGTAGACCCATTGAGATGAATGGAGGTGGCTGACTTGGTTCCATTGATTTCATGGGGTCTGCTTTGAGGAGGGACCTAGCTGCATTCCACCCTCAGGCTGTTCCCACCCCCCTGCCTGCTTACCTGGGAGTAAGCCACATTGCACTGCACTCTGCACTGCAAATCTCCCTGCGAAAGAATTTGATACACTGTCCGGGCCCAAAGTTACCTGTAGGGTTGGTTATCTCCTCCTACAGTCCAATTCTGCAGCCAACCCAGGGCATATGAAGTGGTCACCTGCCTTTTAGCAGGAAAAAAAGGTGCAATGCAGTCCTCATTCCAGCCATTCACCATCCCTGGCCCCTCCTATTGGAGGGTTGCGTGTTTGTGAATGAATGTTCCCATTGTGCAGATGGGAACACTGATCCTGAGCGGGGGAATTTATGCTTAAGCCCTAAGACTTGGAAGAATTTGAAACCTAGAGATACGACTGTTAAGTCATAACTGCATCCTATCCAGGCTTAATAAACTGTGGAGGAGAGAGGAACAAACTCTTGCTGTGTAAAGTTAGGTTTGGCTGTGATCTTCAGTAGTGACATACATTTTAAAAGGAAAACTCTGTTCAGAGAATAAAAGGCCTTGACTCTCTCCTTTACCTGCTTTGCAAATGTTTTGGTGTCGGGGACTTTGGGGGGGGGGCTGGGGAGAACAGCTAACACATTATTTTTTTCTGGGTTTGTTCACACTGGAACTTCTGTTTAACCTTTGAGATAACTTAAATCCTAATGGAATGCGTTGTATTTCTTTTACGCCACGCACTGGCTGATAGGAATATCTTCGCCTTTCCTTCTCTCCCCACCCCCTTCCAATTTTAAAAAATAATAATTTCAAGTTCCTCCCCCTTCTAGCATATGTGTGTGTTCTCATCTCGTTTTCTCCTTCCTTTTAAAAAAAATGCCACGTTAGCAACACACATGGCTGGGCTTCCCAGGAATTGAATTTCCTGGAGAAAGTCGACAAGGGAGGAATGGGGGAAAGGAGGCAGCCCGTGCTGCTTAGATTTCATAATGGGGTCAGGGCAGGTCTTTGGAGCGGGAATTTTAAACCCACGGGCTACCCTGTAATCAAATATATCTCCTACTTGTATTTCCCACGCGGTGGTGGAGAGTATACTGAGAGAGTTAGGGAGCGCAGTTCAACAGGTGCAGAGAAATTTCTGGGGTGGAGTAGGAGAAAGTTTTCAAGGTGCTCCGAAGAATCCCAGCCTGCATGTTGTGTAAGCTTTTAAGGGTGCGGCTGCATCACCTTCAGTGCTGTCACTCTCCTGCCTTTGAGCGCTTGCATCAACCTGTCCCAATTCTCACAGTGCATCTTTTCCCAACGCAAGCAGTCCTGACCTCCTGTAGGTACCAGGCTTGACACGTCATGTGTGAACAGGGGCCGTTGGGGGCATGGCCAGCAGCCGTTTTGGGGCGCTTTGCCAGGAATTCCTGCCTGCCCTAATGGGGATCCTCCTGTTCTTAAGATCTGTTCGTGGGGGCAAGCTAAGGGGGTTTCCTTCCGTGGGCAAAATGCCGAACCAAACGCTCGCCTTCTGTCTTTGGTGAACTGCTGTTCCAGAGTTGTGCAATCCTGCAATTTCAACATAGGGAGATCTGAAAGCCAGGAGACAGTTAACAGTCCTCTGAGGAGTGCAATGCCATCTAAACAACCATCTTTCTTTCGTTGCATAACAAAATTACAGTTCCCAGCAAGAAGGGGAGAATGCAGACTTGCTCCTGAAAGCAGAGCAATATTCCCCCCCCCCCCCGCTTGGTTTAAAGCAGGGTTTTCCCAGTTGGTTTTGGACTACAACTCCCATCATCCCTAGCTAGCAGGACCAGTGGTCATGGATGATGGGAATTGTAGTCCAAAAACAGCTGGGAAACTCCTGGTTTAAGGCGAACTCCCATCAGTCCAAGCCAATATGGCCAATGGCCAGGGATGATGGGAGTTGTAGTTCAGCAACTCTCCAACCTGTGAGTCAGGAATATTGAGCTGAGTGGAGCAAGGTTGTTAACACTATTCTGGGGATAAGCCATGCAATATTGAGTAGATACTTCTGTTGCCTAAATCAGGGTTTCCCAAACTTGGATCCCCTGCTGTTTTTGGACTACAATTCCCATCATCCCTAGCTAACAGGACCCAGTGGTCATGCATGATGGGAATTGTAGTCCAAAAACAGCTGGAAACCCTGGTTTAACTTGTATAACTGTAAATAGGCTGTTGTTGTTTTAAAAAAAAACTTACCTTGTTTTTTCTTGTGTTTCTCTTTTCCCCCAGAAGAGGAAGAGGAGCAAGAAGAGGAAGAGGAGGAAGAAATCGATGTGGTTACAGTAGAGAAAAGGCAGCCCGCGTCGAGGAAATCGGAGTCCGGTACGCACAGGAAGCCCCACCACAGTCCCCTGGTCCTCAAGCGGTGTCACGTCCCCATCCACCAGCACAACTATGCTGCCCCTCCGTCCACCCGCGTCGAATACCCGTCCGCCAAGCGGCTAAAGTTGGACAGTGGCCGAGTCCTCAAACAGATCAGCAACAACCGCAAATGCTCGAGTCCGCGCACCTCGGACTCCGAAGAGAACGACAAGAGGAGGACGCACAACGTCTTGGAGCGCCAGCGGCGGAATGAGCTCAAGCTGAGCTTCTTCGCCTTGCGAGACCAGATCCCCGAAGTGGCCAACAACGAAAAGGCCCCGAAAGTCGTCATCCTCAAGAAGGCCACGGAGTACGTCTTGTCCATCCAGTCGGACGAGCACAGACTGTTAGCCGAAAAGGAACAGCTGCGGAGGAGGCAGGAGCAGTTGAAAAGCAAACTCCAGCAGCTAAGGAACTCTTGTGTTTGAAAACAAAAACGGGGAAAAGGGGAGACATCGTGTAGATTGGGATGGACATTGATCGGGGGGGAAAAGTATAAGAACTTTTGTGCTTTTTTAAAAAACAAAAACTATGTACTGATGGACTCAACAATGTGTGAAAAGCGGAATTGTTGCAATTGCATGCTCGACAACTACACAACCTTGGCCTGCCCTTGGTGCGGGGCTGGCCTGAACCTCAAAACTGCCTCTGAACTGATAAAACTTTGGGCAGGAATCTTCTTCATGCTTCTGGGGGATGAACATTTCCTCTTAACCTTTTTCTTTTTGTATTTAAAGCGTCCCATCCCCCTCCTTCCTTTCTTAAGGTGATTTACAGGTGACGCAGAGTTCGTCACCGCATCTGTAAATATATTTACGCAGCCTAATGACCTGTACATATCTTTATTAAAAAAAAAATCTTTATAGAAAAATTTAAAAGAAAAACCTGCAATGCTTAGTCGGTTGTGGCAACTGAATTTATAATTGTCTTGAACCTTTTCGTGCCATAACATTTCACAGAAACTTTTGGTCGTTTTTATTTAAGTATCTTTTTGTCATTTTTTTTAAAAAAAGAAAGAAAATGATTTTATTTTGTGTTTCTAGATAAATAAAATATTTGCCCTAAATTGTAAGCATCTGTGGCTTGCACGTTTTCCTTGGCCGTTGGATTTCTAAAGGTATAATTCCCAGGAAGTGCTGCAACGAGTGGTTTTTTTAAGCCAGGGTTTCCCAAACTTGGGGCTCCAGCTGTTTTTGGACTACAGTTCCCAACATCCCTGGCCGGCTAAGGATGATGGGAGTTGTAGTCCAAAAACAGCTGGGGATCCAGGTTTGAGAAACTGGTTTAAGCAATGGAAGTATCCGCCTAATTTAACCCTGGATAGCTCAGTTGGTTACAGCGTGGACCTGAATAATGCTAAGGTTGCGGGTTCGATTCCTGCATTGCAGGGGCTGAACTAGGTGATTCTCAGGGTCCTTTTCAACTCTACATTTCTATGATTCCATGTGGCTGAAAGCAGTGCCCTAATACTGCATGGCTGAACACCGGAACAGTGGTAATAGCTTCCTTAGAACATGGCTCCAACCAACTCACTATTCTCAGCTCACAAGTCCAGATCTTTCTGAACTACAACTCCCATCATCCCTGACCAACGGCCATATTGGCTTGGGCTGGTGGGAGTTGGGATCCTCTGTCTAGATTTCCCATCCCTCTGTTCCACTGCCTGTGTGTCTTTGCAGGAAATAAGCCCTTCCCAGTTTTACGTAAACCAGGCATGTCCAAAGTCCTTTTGTGGGGCCTAATCTGGCCCTCTGGTCAGTAAAATCCCAAAAAAAAGGTCAACAACTTTGGTCGGCCCTCATGGCCCTTCACTTCGTCAAATGTGGCCCTCTTTGAAAAAAGTTTGGGCACCACTGATGTAAACAATGGTTTCTGCAAGGCCAGGCAGTGTGCGTTCCTGTATTTACACATCATTTGCATGCCATTTCCGGCACGCTTCCAATTAAAAAAGATCTATAGCAGGAAGTTATTATCCTGTCTGCTGTTATGCAAACCAGAACCTCTCACATACATGTGTTCTTTTGCCCTAGTGGACTGGTGTAGTTTTTGGGGGGAGGGCACCAACTGCCAAATGTTCACAGAGAAGAGGGGTTGGCTGCTAAACGACACCGCGACACAGACACACCCAGCTTAGAAAAATGGCACCTGTAGAGGGGAACTTGCAATACATGATTTTTACCTGACTTGAGATTATGAAAGTGCTACGTGACCGTTGCATCTCTGGATGAGCCGAGGATGCTGGGAGTTTTAAGCTGGCACAGGAAATTCCTCACTCAGCCACAGATCCTATTCATCCCCATGCATCTTGCTATATGGTGGTTCACATAAAAAGGTATAATATACTCTCTTAATAATAATAAACGGACTTTAAAACAGAGGAGGATTCTGAACTGCAAACTGCAACAGAAAGCGACTGCCAGTTCCTGCTGTGTGTTCTTTTGATTCCAGGAATAATATTTATATGCCACCCCCTCTGACTGGGTTACCCCCCAGCCACCCTGGGTGGCTTCCAACAAGTTAAAAGGTGATGGGAGAAACCATTAAACTCTGGCAGAGAAAATGCACTGCATGATGAAGCCCGGGACCCAGGTTCAAATTGTGTACATGGATGTAGAATGTGTGTCTATCCAGCTCTTGCTGAACAAGCCCATGTTGCCAATAGGGATGATGGGAGTTGTAGTCTAGCAACTTCTTTAAGAGTAAGCAGTTAGCACTGGGCATGCATACTCAGAAGGGAGTCCCACGAAATGCAGTAGATAGAATCATAGAGTTGGAATAGACCACAAGGGCCATCGAGTCCAACCCCCTGCCAAGCAGGAAACACCATCAGAGCACTCCTGACATATGGTTGTCAAGCCTCTGCTTAAAGACCTCCAAAGAAGGAGACTCCACCACACTCCTTGGCAGCAAATTCCACTGTCGAACAGCTCTTACTGTCAGATATTACAGCAAGCGTGCTTAGGATGGGGCTGAAACTCCCAGTAAGTTTCCCTTCTTCATTTCACCCTTTTTGATCTGCAGAGAGGGATCTCTCTTGGTATAATACCGTTTCTACCCGTCTGAAGGAAGGGACACTAGGAATCCCAAATAAATGAACAGTTTGGGAGGACTAACCTGTTCAACTGGTTCAGGTAGCCTGAGTCACCCCAGTAAATCAATTTAATTCCCATGTACTTCAAATGAGAGAATGCTGTTGCCTCTTTTCAGGCGATTGAACTGCATCTGTGTATGCTGTGGGGTAAAAAAAATATGAACTGTTTCCATGGCAGTCATTCTACAGAGTTTTGCACGCTTGTTTATTTCTTTCGATGTCTAAAACTGCTTAGTTGCAAAGCTTTCCCTAAGTGTAAATAAAATGGTAGATAAGACAGCTAAAAGTCTTATCTAAATGAGTTTTATTATTAAACTATATTCGCTGTTAAAAGTGAATATGGGTTGATAATATCTCTAGGCTCACTGAAATTTCTAAAATAAATAAATCGCCATACATCTAAAGCAATGCAGATAAAAGGGGGCCTACCTGTTGTCAAGTGGCAGGGAGTTCCAAAGCACAACTGCTGCCACATTAAAAGATCAGCACCTTGCAAATATCTGGACATTCTTCACAACAGCCCTGTGAGGTAAGTTAAGCTAAGAGATGGTGACAGACTCCAGGGTTGACTGAGCTTCATGGCTGAGTCGGGATTCGAACCCTGGTCTCCCAGGTCACAGTCCAACACTTAACCCAGGCTTCCTTGGCCCTCCAGATGTTTTGAGACTACAGTTCCCAGCATCCCTGACCACTGGTCCTGCTAGCTAGGGATCATGGGAGTTGTAGGCCAAAAACATCTGGAGGTCCGAGGTTGAGGAAGCCTGCTCTAACCATTACGCCACCCTGCCTCTCATATAGAGAAGGCTCCTACCTGCAGCAATGGAAGCAGAATGTATTCATCTGGTTAATAGCCATTATTTGCTGCTTTATTCTAATCTCCCACCTGAATCAGATCCCCAGCTTTGCTAATATAAAGAAAGGCACCTTTTTCCCCTTTCCATTTGTTCTCTGCTTCAAGGGAGAACTGTGTGTTCTGATAAATGCACACAGAAAAGGTGGGAACAACCTTAGAGGTGCGGAGATGGTTTATTTATATATACTGCTTTTCAGCCCAAAGGCCTTCAAAGCAGTGAAGAGCGTATTAAAACATAAACAGGCCAGGGGAAGTTGCATAAAATGTCGTGAAACCAGCCGAATCAATTGAATGGACAGAAGAGTGCTGTTGCCAACTTGGAAATGTCTAAAAACTTGGAGAGCAGTTGCCGGTAAGTGTAGGCAATATTGAGCTGGATGGAGCAAATATCTGACTGCTGTCCCAAGGACCCAGAAAATCCAGAAACCAGAACCGACAATGCAAAAAGAAAAGGGGCCCATCTGCACTATACATTGAAAGCAGTATCATACCCCTTCAAACACTCAGGGCTTCCCCCAAATAATCCTAGGAACTACAGTTTTTTGAGGGTGGCACTGTGGGTTAAACCACAGAGCCTAGGGCTTGCCGATCAGAAGGTCGGCAGTTCGAATCCCCGCGACAGGGTGAGCTCTCGTTGCTCAGTCCCAGCTCCTGCCAACCTAGCAGTTCGAAAGCACGTCAAAGTGCAAGTAGATAAATAAGTACTGCTCCGGCGGGAAGGTAAACGGCGTTTCCGTGTGCTGCTCTGGTTCGCCAGAAGCGGATTAGTCATGCTGGGCACATGACCCGGAAGCTGTACGCTGGCTCCCTCAGCCAATAAAGCAAGATGAGCGCCGAAACCCCGGAGTCGGCCACGACTGGACCTAATGGTCAGGGGTCCCTTTACCTTTACCTTAAGAATGGTTAGGAGACACCCACACACCCACACTAGTTACAATTCTCAAAGGGGTTTAAGTGTCAATTCCTCTCCCTGGGGAACTCTGAGAACTAGGGGTCCCCTAACAACTCCCAGCACCCTTAAGAAACTACCCAGGATTGTTTTGGGGATGCCATAACTGCTTAAAGCGGCATAGCGCTGCTTTAAATGTTTAGCACAGATAAGATTCAACCTGTTTCATGCGTTAAGATCAGGGGTCAGCAAACTTTTTAAAGCAGGGGGCCAGTCCACTGTCCCTCGGACCTTGTAGGGGGGCCAGACTATATTTTGAATGAAAAAAATATGAACAAATTCCTATGCCCCACAAATAACCCAGAGATGCATTTTAAATAAAAGCACACATTCTACTCATGTAAAAACATGCTGATTGCCAGACTGTCCACGAGCCGGATTTAGAAGGCGATTGGATCGGATCCGGCCCCCGGGCCTCAGTTTGCCTACCCATGCCCTAAACGGCATTGGCCCAGTATAACTGAAGGAGTGTCTCCACCCCCATCATTCTGCCTGGACACTGAGGTCTAGCTCCGGGGGCCTTCTGGAGGTTCCCTCCCTGCGAG